ATCAATTTTTCGCTGTCAAAGTTTCCGGATAATGATGTCATTAGATGAATTTTTGGAGCAAAAACGAAAGAAAATTAATTTGCATTTCATCTACTGATGTGTATCTGGCAACTTCTACTGTGAAAAAGTTGAGCAATTTGACGGTTTTTTGTAATGAATATGTATTATATTTCTGTCCAGAGTGACCCAAATATTACATGTACAAAAAATTATACTTGGCCGGGTTAGAGGCACTTAAAAAAAAATACAGGGATTTTGTTCATATATTTGTTATTACTTAATTCTTAATTACTACATATACAAGTCAACCAATGCAGAATGTACTTCGTATTTTGTCAACATGTATAACTTGGTTATATATTTATAAACATATTGTTAACAGCCTGCAACTCTTGTTGAAAGAAGTTGAGTTCGCATGTTCCAAATGACAAAAACGTACTATTAAGGAATAATTTCATTATTAATGAATAACTTCATTATTCATTAATGATACGTATTTTGTCGTTTGCGGAAAGCAAATTTACATTCAGTCTCCAGGTTTGGGACTTAGGTAAATCAATGTGCAATTGTTCACCAGTTGGCAAATGAAGTGACAGCTTGGCTGCATCGCAATCCAAAACTAACTCAACTGTGTCTCCTTCCATAGTCAGATTTTCTAACGTTGTGTCATACGTAAACGCCCCTTCTTCCCATACTTGACCAGTCGTCCCGAGTGCCCATCCATAAGAACCAGGCCATCCATGTGAATAGTAGTTATTTTGTTGCAGACCATCTCCTTTCACGATGCCAACAAACATCCAATAATTACTTTGAAACGACTCCAAATTCAATTTGAGACGTACAATCCCGTGTTGGTAAGTATTTTCACCAAGACCATATTGATAGCATCCATTTTGACCCTGATGAACCGCGAGTTTACCATCGTCCTGAAGAGTAATTTCAGGCGCATGTAAATTAAATTTCTCGCCTGGCACAATTTGAGTGCGGACGATTTCGACAGTCTCTTCGACAGGCACTACGATTTCATCACTCAAGCCGAGATACTCGACAAAAGTGTTGAAATTTTTCACTTGATCTCTTGGAACGTTTGGCAATTCTGGGTTCTTTGGCGACGCAAGTTTCTTCATGCGAAGATAATCCAAAATATAGCCAAAATATTGTGGGTTGACATCGAAGAAGACGACGCCATCTTCATCACGCTTGAGACCATCTTCCCACCTGCCACTGAACATGGTGGCAAGTAAGGAACCTTCTACTTGACACAAAGTAGATCTTGTGCTGGTCAACTTTTGTCCCCCGACGTTGAGATGTATGATATCATCGTCGCTAACTTCGAACGGTTTCATTCGTTCCTTCTCGGCGTTGTACTGTTCCACTTCCGCCTTCAATTTTGCGCGCTCGCCTTGGATAATTTCGTTGAATTCCTCTTTGAATCGCTTCACCAATTCGTCGAATTTCGCCAATAAATTTGTGCTACTCATCTTTTGACTTTGTAAAT